TGATAAAAGTCGGAGCCCCCTTGGCAAGGGGAGAGGGAGCGGCAGCTGCGGTGTCGGGGGAAGCCGCGCTCCGCTGGCCTTGATCGCGGAAGAGAACTGGGGCGCAATGTTTTAACGAGGCACTCACAACACAGAACTAATGAGCAGCGGGGCAGAACGAGGAGCCACAACAGCAGGACTCTGGGCATTTGGGCAGCCGTCCCCTCCGAGGCAGCCTCTCGGGTGCCACACTGTGAAGGCATCCGATGGCAATGCTTCGCTCTTACGCCCTCGGTAGCTTATTTAAGCCAACCAAATTGTCCCACTAATCCAGAAACCTGAATTCTGGCGCTCTGCGCTGCTTCTCGGGAGGCGCGTACCCTGCTGATCCCCACGGGGCTGCAGGACCCACGCGAGAGCGTGCACACCCTTCCACACTGTGCAGCAGGTACAAGGACACGACCTCCTGCCAGTCGCCACCACGCAGCCAGCGGGTCACCCAGAGCCACGCAGGTCCACGATCCGGGAGTCTCGTACGGTCTGAGGATTTTTTGGCCACGGAGGGAACACCTGAGTGGGTCACAGCAAAGCATCTCCCCTCGCCAGGAGGCTCCAGCTCGCCTCAAGTGTGTCTGTTGCCATGAGACTGCAATTCCCCCGGGCATCACGGCGGCAGCCTTTACGCAAGCAGAACCGCACAGCCACCGGCTGGCCAAATTTAGCAAATCCAGGCGATCGAGCACCCTCCAGTAAGGCAGAGCATCCGGGGAGCTCCCCATCGCCGCTGCTCACGGGCTGTGCAAAAAGGGCTCTTGCCCCCAGAGATGTGCACACCCAGTAACTCGGGTTACAATGGAAGCAGGAGAGGAAATACCAGTCCTCCCATTCTGGACAGAGGCAGGCACTGGTCGCAGCTCTGTTCTTCACCGTAAGGAAGCCAGACCCTGGCAGACATCCTCCCTGCAAATGCTTCTTTTGTGCTTCCCTCTAAGCTACGCCTCCAACGTCCTCAGCCCTGCACCGCTGCAGCTCACCCCTGCTCAGCTGCTGCCAGCGGCTGGAGCGCGTTCGACATCCAGCCTATTAATAAATAGGGTTTATTTCAGTTTCTGCTTTCTAAATATAAAAGCAGAGTCTTCCTCTCCCGTGTCAGCTGCACGATACTTCCAGCACACACACTAAATGGTACTCGGAGAGGTATCAGCAGTGCGTGGGGTCAGCCCTTCAACACCCACCACACGCTTTTTTAGCGAGAAAGGTTTGCTTGAAGATGGGAAGGCTATTTATTTTAGGGGCCATCTGAAAGGGAAACCACAGAGCATCTGAAATGCAAACTCAAACCACCGCTCCCGCTCCTCTGCATGTCAGAGAGGGCTGAGGCAAGATCAATTTAAACAATTCCCTCTGAGCAGCAGCTTTGACATTTGGCTTCTTCTGTTGATTTATCGCTCTGTCCATCTGCCTTTTCAGGGCAGGAATTGTTTCTGCTCGTAGCACAGCAGGGGCCTGATCCAGGTCAGGCACTCTCAGCCCAACTGCACAATTACAACAACGCGTGTCAAAAGCTACACTAATAAGACTTCACCTTGTTTCCAGCCATCCCGAGTGGTTCAACCTGGCCCTGCAACACCGAGGGGCAGGGTAAAGGGAGATACCCCAGCTGCCTTCTGCCCGGAGCCGCGGCGGCGGCAGGAGGAATCCCCCGGAGTTTGGAGAGATACGGCTGCGACTGCGGCCTTAACAATTAATTCAAGTGCAGGAACAGCCTCGTGGCTCTCCTGCCGCAGAACCCGGTTGCGCTACACCTTACCCCAACACCTCCTCCCTGAACACACAGGCACACGCCCAGCTCCTGCAGAGCCAACACCCACTTTATATGGGCCATTTTGGGCTTTCTGCGCCAGGCTGCAGGCACACGCGCACGCACCTTGGCACAGATCATAGCTTGCGTCTCTGTAATTTACCCAGCAGAGCTCAGCTGGAGTCCTTTACCCAATTTTACAGTTGGACTGGCTGAGGACCAGAGGTCAAGTGTCTTTGCCTGAGGTTCGTGCGATGAGTGACTCGGATCAGACCCCAGCGCTCCTCCATCCTGCACGGCTTCGCATCAAACTCGCTTCCTTCTGCCGGATCCGTTCGGAAACACGCCTTCCTTTCTCGATCGCTCTCTCCTGAGGCAAGATCCCATGCAGGACGGAGAGCGCATCTGCCCCTGCCAGAAGGACTAGGCTTTAAGAAAAGGACATTCAAGAAGTGCACAAGGAAGAAAAATGGGGAAGGAGATAAACCGGTAACTCCTGAAGATGAAATAATGCCGAATCCTCGGTCGTGCCCCCACCGTTATTAAAGATGCTCTCAGCTGCAAGCCAGCTCGGTCCAGCAGGGCCTGCAAGATGTCTGCTCGTGAAAGACAACAGCACAAACACACTGAGGGTTTGGGGGTCAGTCCTCCTTGGGGCTGAAACACAGCGATCTCAGAGACTGACTGCAATCGAAGATGTCTGGAACACGCCTGGCAGCTCTGCCACGAGGAAGTAAGGGCGATCCGCAGCACGAGGCGGCGATCTCGGTAGCGAGAAACCTCAAACCCTGCCCCACACCCACCTCAGCGCCCACACCACTCACAAAGGTGCTGCTTCTCCTGAAATACCAAAATATGCAGGAAATTAAGGACTACCAGGGTTCCCTAGTTCAGGTTACCCGACCGTCTCCAGCCCAGAGGAGCAAATCCTCTCAGAACAGGAAGACAAAGCAGCTGCTGCTACATCTGCCACTCGAACAGGCTGAATTTCGGAGATTGAGATAGGCAGGACCCCAGCATTAGAGTCGTCTCCTTCACCCTCACCTACCTACAGACCACAAGTCTAAGATAAGCTCATTGTCTAGTGAGAGAAGATGAAGGTCAAGAACTCTAGGAAGACTCACTGGTTAAAGGGATGTCCGAAGGGCAGCCCTGACAGGCAGAAGTTAAACCAGTCCAAGCTTTGCTACTTAAATATCCTGTTTCAGTTGAACAAACCTGCTTTGAAACTAGGTTTTCCTTTGGTAGAAAGCCAGATGGAGGGGCAATTCAGCAAGAGGATTTAACTAGTAGATCCTGCCTTCTTCCGTAGGATTTGAAAATACACTAATTATTCTCTGGGTCATGAAGGGAGTTGGAAAAACAAACAAAAAAACAACAAACCAAATCAAAAAAATGTGAAGGTGCAATTTACATCTCAGCTCACTGGCAACTGCATCAGTTTCGGGAAAAGGAAAGTGAATCTCTCTCTGCAGAGCCAAACGGCCCCGGATGCAGAGTCACCACTTATCAGCTGCGCAGACCTGGCATCCTGCTGGGCACCTCTTTCACTTGGCATCTGTCGAAGGAGGTTCCCGGTGGCCCCGTTCCAGGCAGGCACTCGCCGCCCCGCTCACGGAACCGCGCGTCCTGCTTCACCTGCAGCGGGCTCGGCGTATCGGAGCAATGCTGCCGGACTGGACTTGAGTCTTTAACCTTTCCGAACATGATGCAAGTGTTTTGTAGATGATAACATACGTCAAAGGGCGAGGAATTACTTACACGGAACCAGACACGTTAGCCAAGAGAATGACATTTTCCGCACCAGGGAAAGGTTTTTTTACAGATGATGTAACTGTATAGAGGCAGACAAAAAAAACTTCACACAAAAACCCGCTGGACACAGTGATAATATTGAATCAGTATCCGCATTGACTCAGTAGACAAAGCCACTTACAAAGTAAGAAATAATACTCATAAAAACAAACTTGAATTAGGGCTACAAACCTCCCAGCTACCGACAGGATAAATCCCCTTACGCTCCAGCTTTTCCAAAAGACGGGAGGTGCTGGGGGCTCCACGTCCGGCTTCAGCTTGGAGACCACAACGCTTAGCACGAAAACGCAGGTCAGGGCACACGGACACCTTTAACCCTACCCCTCCAGTTTGGTCTAGTCTCCTCAGGTAAGTTTAAAAGTCATCCATAAACATTTGTGTCAGTATTTTTAGCACACGCTGAATTTTAAGTACAGGACAGCATTCCACTGACTTCAGGAGAGCACTTCCAGGTGGCAAAGTTCAACACGAGTACGAGCACAACAAGAAGTCCACACCGAACAACTAAATTTGCTAACAGGCTTCCGAATACAGCTCTCCACATCACTACCACTAAACACCCTTGCCTTTGAGGCCACATAGAGTCTTCAGGCACAGACAGCTTTTGACACAGATTTGCACGTCTGCCAAATATCTACTTTAATCCTTCAATGCGATAGCGGCATTTAGTTACTTGTCAAATGTTACTCACTTCAGGCAAGGAGAACTCTCTGTGCAGTTTCTTATGAATATTTCTTTACCAAAAGCAAGCATATTCGTATAACCAAGAAGAACAATTTCTCAGTATTAGGTTCAGTCAGCCAAGACAGCAAGAGTATCTGATGTTAGGCCTTTCGGAATATCGTCTTAAAGCACTTGTCCAAACCAATACGGACGTTCATTAAAAAAAGACCCCGTTACACTCGTAGGGAACATCATGCACAGTATTAAAAGCTTGGCTTAAAGCAGTGCTGCACAGCACGATCTTTGATATGTATTTGTACCTTCAAAAAGATCCCTCTCTTCCATGTTACATTCAACCACAACTTGAAGATTTCAAATATGAACGTTTGTCTCCGGAAGACACGCACTAGCGCACCCTGAGCTCCCAACAGTTCTCCTTCCAGCACAGCCAATAGCAGTACCTAGCCGACAGCATGTTATCTGGCGAGTTCCTCCTAGCATCTGCATCTAAAACGCCTTTCTGATGGTCAGGACGACTGTCTGGTAGAGACGTGGAGCCACAGTTCATCAAAGACCCCGATGGACACACCAAAGCCTTGAACGGTCTATTAACATCCCACCGCACGTGCGGGACGAGAGCTCGAACGCAGGCCTTGCAAAGCTGCCCACAAAGGCGGCTTCTGAAAACTGCAGAGTACAGGACTTTAGGCTCCAGTTTGTTCTTTATGACATGCTGGCCTCCCCGACGCTAAGGAACAGCGCTTGGGCAGCAGGGCAAACACAAGCAAGTAATTAACCTGACTGGAAGGCTGAAGTCTTATTCCAAATGTATTGGTCTTAAGCCTTAAACACCTGGATCTGTCCCTACATTTAACTTACCTACTCTGCAGCTCAGCAAAGACCTGCTTCATCTTCTTAATGGAAGCATCCATTTCCTCCTTCACCACAACCCGGTACCGAGCCAGTGAAACAGTGCAGCGCTGGAGATCCTTCACTGATTTTTCAATATTAGAACCTACCAAGAGACAGAGTGAACTCAAACAGCCATGTCAATCACACTGCTAAATCCTCCCAGCAGTGATACATCTAAAGATGGCTTTCCCTCTTATTTTAAAACTATACACTGCTGGGTTTTAAATTTTTCTTTCCCTTCCCTATTATAGCAGGGACAGTGTGAGAGGTTTTCTTATTGGGGAAAGTTTTCCCAAGGCTTGGAGAATTTTATTCTATGGGCAGGGATGTCCCTCCACACTTTCAATTACATGAGAGAAGTCAAATGCATCTCTGAGTTGCTTTTCTGCTAGGGACTGGAGACAAGTGAAATGCAGTCTAGTCCAAAGGCCAACACACCATATCACTAAATGAGATGAAATGACTGTTTGCCTGGGGAAGGGAATTATCTCGGAAACTAAAATTAAGGCTATTTCCTCAAATCGGGAGCCGAAAGGATTGGTCAGCGCCGCCAAGGCCAGTCCCCGTGTCTCAGCTCGCCAGCAGGGTACATTACCTTGCCCACGCTCTCGGGAGCTTGCCGGAGCGCAGTTGGCCCCTGCCAAGCTACATTAACAACAGCTCGTTACATCCAGCAAGGAGGTGAACTACCACCACCTCATCTCCCTAAGCTAAGTATAATAACCGCGATCGCAGCCGGGGTCTCTGAGGTCCCTCCTGTCCCCATTTGTTATCGTAAGAACTCAGCTGTGGAGACAGCACACGAAAGAGAACAAAAATATCCAGTAGAAGGAGGCTGTCACTTCTTGTAACAGGGCTGGTCCGAACTTCTGGCCTTTCGACAAATTCTCACAAAAGATGAGAAACAACCTAAAGGCTCTGTGACGGAGCACACAGAAGAATGGGCTAAACGTATGCAGCGAGACTGGCTGCTTCCTCCCCTGCTTCTCTCACACATATGGGTTTGCCGCTCCAGGCACTACATCTAAACTGCTGTCAGGATTACTGCTGTGCATAGGGAAGAGGAGGAGTAGAGTGCAAGTTACTGGCCAGATAATAAGAAGCATGTTAGCTCGCATTAAAATCAAAGTCCAGTACGCCTCACCACCGTGTCCGTCAGTGACACCGCAGAAGAGGCGGCGAGAACGCGGCCAGCAGCAACCTGCTCTGACATCGGGGAGCACGCAGACCCTCAGGGCCTTACCTAGCTTCTTGTTTGCAGGTGAAACTGGAACATCTTCCAGCCGCGTTACAGACAGGGACGCAGGAGTCGAATTGCTCGCTGCTGATCTGGACAGAGACCTGCTAGCGCTCCTCTGCTCAGGCCGCTGTCTAAGAGATGAAGGGCTCTGGGAAGGATGCATGGTGAGCGATTTTGTGTCAAAGTCTGCTATTCCATTCTCTAGTTCAGGCACTGCTGTAGAAAAGCACACTCGTTTAAAGGGGAACGCGAAGGGGACAGCAGAACACTGACCGCCTCTTTACCACAACAAGCAAAAAAATCAGAAATCAAGGTGAGCTGCTCTTTCCTGAAGAGCCATCCAGACAAACCAGTACTCAAAGCTGACCCAAACCAAAGGAGGAACACAAAAAGCGGGAGGCAGCTCCTCTGCTTTTTGAACACTTGGCGCCCATCTCCTGCGCTACTTGAGAGAGACTAACCTGTTCTATCAGGCATGTCTGGCGCAGCAGACTCGCAATCCTCCAGCTCTCTGGCATCAATTGAAAGTGCATCCAAACCTTCGCTGAGCGAGTCCACAGACTCCGTGTCGTGGGCACAGCCGTTGACATGGAAACCGTTAATTCCACCCTTCTCCGAGTTTGCCGACTGCTCCTCTTCAGTGGATGCCAATTTACCAGGGTCTGGGAGGCCAGGGCTCGATTCAGCTTGTGGTTTCGGTTTGGTTTTCTTCTTCTTGTTCTAAGAAAAGGGGGGGGGGGGGGGAAATGTTAAGCTTAATTCCTGAAGGGAAAATTAAGCTTATGCTTACTGGCTGAAAGTAGCTGAATTAAATGCTTTTTCAGCCAGCCTGGCTGTTGATCCTATTAACAGTAGGAGGGATTTATTCAACAATGAGGACAGATATAGTGGCATTAATGAGGCGCAAATACATTATCCTCTCCGATGGTGTGCCAACAAGAGCAATGCGCTGGTTACCAGCTAAAGGCTGCATAACTGATGGGAACCAGTGGAGAGGTTTGGGGCTGTACCCCACGGCACCAGCTGGGTCGCTTCTGGGGGTGCTCACTGGCAAGGTGCAGCTTCCAGGGTGCTCTGCTAGACCTTGCTCTGACGAAGCCTCCCTCATTTCCCAACACAGGGCTATTCAGTCACGTTTTTTCCCCTCCATTTCGTGCTGGTGCTTTTCACTTATTCAAAGAAGTCCTTTTGAATAATGATGATTTTATTCTTGTCCTGGTGGATTTAGATATTATAATATCAAGTACTGAAACTTTGCAAATCTTTGTTTAACCCTTTCACAGAGGTCTGAGCAAAGAACTAGGCAAAACACTCGAGAAAGCTTACGTGACAAAGAAATATATTTCCACAGAGCTCAGCATTATACGCAGCTGTTCAGCTCCAAAGGTTACCGATGAAAAATGGAACAGCATGACTATCTGAACAGTGAATTACAGAGCTCTGTTGAAATAAATGGACCCGGTGAAGATTTACTTCAGTGTGGGGCTGTGTGTGCGGATTTGGGGTCCTGCAGAGGGTCAGCAGAATAAAAGCAACTGCAGGGACAGAAAGTCTAGAACCCTTTTTTCAGATGCTACATTCTACACAATGTGTCTGACAACTAAATTAAATGCAAAGGAGGCAAGAAGATGGTGTTTGCAACTTGCACTGAAGTCACCCTGTAAATCATTGCCCTGATCAGCAAGGCACCCGATAACCTAGTGATTATCTCAGTGCATCAGTTCTGCTAACATCAATATACACGTTTGCTCTTTGGTTTTTTATTTTCCCATCTAAATCACGAGGAATGCCTACTCTTCTCCGTAGTCTAAATCTTCAAAATGAAAAGGCAAATGCCTTAGCAAAGTATATTTTGGAAGTGTTACCTTTTTTTTGCCTGTTACAGTCCATTCTTTCAGTACTTCACTGGCATTGCCTGAAACGAAATGCAGCGATGAGCAGTGGACAAGGCATCCACGCCAATTCTCTCCCGGTCATGTGGAAGTGCCTCCATACCTGGAGCCAGCTTCCTGCAGCTAAGTTTCAATTCTCTCAGTTGATAAAAGGATTAGTTTCATTTTTGCTTTGGGAACAGGACTACTCCCTTACAACACAGTGCCAGCTCTTTCCAGGAAAAAGAAGGATGAAAAAAAATAAAAAAAAAATCTTCTCTTTGGCTCTGTCATACTAAAGGTTTAGGTACTTGGAACCCTGCTGGAGCATGTTCTGAACTCAAAGGTTGCGTTCGGGTCAGATATCTGCTGGCCTTCTCTCCCCAGAGAGGCTGACAGTGTCAGGATGCCCACAGCCGGAGGAATAGCTGTCATACCTTCTGTAGGCCAGAGGCAAGGCGCAGCTGTCAGCGCTGGCCAGCACGGAAATAAGAGCTGCGAAGCGACAGGCACTGTCACCAGCAACAGCCTGTTTTTCCAAGGTCAGAAAATCCATCTAATGCAGCAGCCAGCCAGACCCAAGAGAAGATTTGTGAGCCAGGTTTCAAAGTACAAACAGCAACTATCGAAGCTGAAGACATTCCCATTTTGTACACATGAGCAAGCGTTTCTGTAATTGAGTACCAAACCTCCTTTATCTAAAGAGCTATCAAATGCTTATCTCTGCCTTGACCCCTCGTTGAACAAACAGCAACTAAAACTCGGGAAGAGAATCATCCGTTAGTTATCTCTGTGCATAGAGCCTGTACTCGGATGTGCCGAGAAGCTACACGAGCTTCTGCTACCTGGTGTACTTGCTGCACGCAGCCCTTTCTGCACAAAGGCTATTGCTGCTTCTGAAGTAGGTCCATAAACACGGCACGAACGAGTTACGAAGCCACAAACCCCGCCAAGAAGCCAGCCGCAGTTACCTTCCATAAAGGCTTGCACTGTTCTGTCCACACAGTTGTCAAAATGCTGCAGCACAAGGACAATCTCGTTGTTGCTCCTGTTGGGGACTATTGCACGCACCGCGCTGATCTAGAGGGAGGAAAACGGTGACATGTAAACCATTTGCTTTATCCCAAACGGGGCCTACAGCAACCCTTCTACGAGCAGTCTAAAAACCGTAACCGATGACTTCCTTATAAAACTTTAATGTGCCAGGACAATTTAGCCTGAATAAAATTTTGCTTCTGACAGAGCTGCAGTTAGCTCCCAGACAGAAACATATTCCACCTCAGAGAGGAGATGAAGATACAGCGTTCACGAGCTCTTCCACGGCACACGGTGAGTTAAAGTCTCAGAAGACACATTTACCTTCTCCTTCATGTTTTCAAAGGTTCCTCCTTGGGCCATCACAGTATTGGACTGCACATCAAAAATAAACCCAGACGGATCTGTGAAGACAAAGGAGAGGGAAGCTCTCTTCTGAACAACAGGCATCGAGAGACGTTTAGAAAGAAATGAAGCAAGAGGTCGGCTCCGAGCTGTTACTTTGCCAAGGAGAAAATTGAAATCCTGCAAACGTACGGCGTTCACTGGCTAATTCTGCCATATGGTTAGCAGAGGATTATTAGCTGCTGAGAGTAAAACGGATGCTACCCCAGCCTTGTTTAAGGACCCGATTCTGTTTAGCCAGGTAACCCCAGTTGAATCTGGTTTGCCAATGCCCCCCACCGAACTCAAGAAGCCGATTCAATCCTCACCTCTGAGTCAGTTTAGACCAACCAACCACAGATCAAAACCGCAAGCCAAAAAACACAAGCCCCAACAGGGCTGGTGTGAAAGAGTGAACTGCTGAAGCAGACCAGACCAGTACCGCTCCGCCATTTCCATATTCACCGTTTACTGAGCCCAGCAAGAAAGCGTTAACAAAAGCGCTGGAGCCTTCGAGCAGTGTGGTTAACAATTTCCTCCACCTGGAGATACAAATGGCAAGCAGACTGATAAATGGGTTTGAAGATCCAGCAGCTTGTGTTCCCTGCCAGCTATGATCTCCAAGGTAATGCTTATATGTTCCAAAAGAGACCCATAATTGAGACAGCCATCACCAACAGGTTTGCTCCCTGCCAGCGAGCAAAGGTCACATAAATCTGCAGGCCCCATCATTTCACCGAGAGATCCTTACGAGTGCCTGGTATCACAAATCCGCGCTCAATTTTCCTGCCAAAGGTCTGAGCGGGCTAAATTTCAGGTTTGCTAAAGAAAAGGGATATAGCTGTTCGCAGATGCGTTCTACTACGACAGCACGTACTTGAAAGCGGTATTTTAGCCACATTGGGTCTCGGGAAGAGCGCGTGTCCCGGGGCAGGGGCCGACTGCAGGCCCCCCGCGGCTCTGAGCACCCCTAATCTGCACCACCACCCCCTTTCCAGGGAGCTCGCAACCGCGGGCAGATTTCCTACGAGGGCACGTGCCTGCGCGTGCTTCGACGCCTCGAGCCCTGCGCGGAGCCAGGGAAGCACAAGACCACCGGTTCTTCTGCACAGCTTCTCAGGGGGCTTTGGGGACCGCCCGGGGGAAGGGACCCTTCCAGCAGGCCGGGCTGCTCTGCGGGGACGCTCGCTCAGTCGCTGCCCTTCCTGCTTTAGCTCAGCTGATATTCCAAGCTGCTGATTCATGTTCTTTCCCTCACCTCCTCTAAATAACTCGTACGCGATTCCGAGACACACCATTGACTTCCGCGGTTCCCAGACATTGATGTAGCATTTAAACTGAGATGCCTCCAAATACAGTGACAGAATTGTGAACATGATGGAAAGGTCAGCCTCTTACTAAGGCTACAGATGAACGGTTAAATTCTTCCTCGCGCCATCCTTACCCGTTTCAGCCCCATGAGCAAGATTTTCTCAAGTTTCCCAAGCTCACGGAAGTTAGAGTTACCAACTTTCTAGTCCTTAATCTTGTAAATGGCTTTCAGGCTCCTATCACCGAGGGAGAATTAGCAATCTTTTTTCAAAATCTTCATTGCAAAGCAGCCACCAAGGACCCAGGTGCCAGGAAAGATGAAGTTCAGCTCCCCCCATGCAGCACATTTTCAGCTACTCAATCCCATCCCCTTCCCACATCTCCATTTGCACTTGGTCTTACAAGGGACTGAGCTTGTCGGCACCTCGCTCCGAGCCGCTTCTCCGGCTTCCAGTCGCTTCGCTACAGCCCAAGTCCTCCTGGTGTTAAAATGTTCATCATGCAAAAATTATGCAACGGAGACTACACTGTATACATTTGATATTGCCCTTGAGAACTCCCAAGCATCATTAAAAGGGCTGCTAGCACTCAGGTCTCTTGTGACAGTGGGTATTTGCAAGAAGGGACAGAATTTAAAATGCTCATGCCCACGTGGACAGAAGTCTGGCAGCCACCAGTGACTTCAGGATTTTGGAATTAACAGCCTTTGGGAAAGGAAAGCTCCTTCCCAAAGCCAGGGCTCAGACTGTGCATGTCATGCCTGACATGACGAGTCAGTCGGACACTCAGACGGATCTCTCTTGCATTAAAACACACACCATGCAGCGCTACCCTGTTGATTTGATGCGATAAACCCCAGAGACAACGCCAACGGCCTTAATTGCTTCTCTGTTCATAACTGCATCCTCCAGAAAAATGAGGTGGTAAGAAATCATTCATCCCAAATCATTTACCTTTGTGTTTCAGTGCTATTTATTGGACTAATAACACAGGATCTCTTAAATAGAAACACTAACGATGCCAGGAAGAACCCACCCTACCAAATATCAATGAGCTCCTCTCTCTCGCACCTCCGCTAATTAGACCTTTCTGTACAAAACACGTGCAAGAATTAAAGCTACAGATGTAACAAACGCCTGCTCTGCTTCCTGGGACACACAAAATAAAACAACTTCACACCTGACACCTCGAGGAAGTCAAAACAGGGGCCGCTTTTTCACCCCCAAGCCCCCAAGTCAAGCCAAGCCGAGTCCTGGCTCACTTTTGAGCCACGGCAGGCAGTCGTTTCATAAAGCAGCAGAGAAAAGAAATAAAAGCACCACCCTGACGGCTACGCAGACTTTGTCCCAACCAGCGTCACAGAGCACACTTTACGAAAGCGTACAGCGAGATTACATCTATGCATTTAGCTCCTCCGAACCCATCCAGCACTTTATCCCCACCACACCCACGTGCCAGCTCACGGGAAGTTTGCACAGTAAAATAGCGTACAAAACTGGGGGGAAAAAAGAAAAAAGCCCACTCCAAAGGTCAGGTTCACCCTCCGGCCCCAGCCAGGACGCTCGCAGGCTTTGGGGAGCTGGACAGCATATACACTTGAAGTGCTATGCAATCAAGATTCAGTCAAACCGTGAAACATTTATAGACTCTGTGGCTTTTCAGGTCAACGGTAACCGCGACGGCTCTCCCAGGGATAGCGCGGGAGACCTCGGCTAATGTGAAATAAAAAGCTCTTAAAGAAATGGCACCTCGCTGCTCGCTCGGATCATCTCTGATTTGCTTTAATTACAAGCATCTTCAGCAGTCCCCGCATTGTGAGAATGAGACGACGTCCGTGCCCAGGACTGCAGAGGTGACTGGACAGGAATTAATGCATCTTCCCAGGACAGAGTAAAGAAGCCAGAATATCATTATTCTACCAGTCTGCGCTTGCAGTCACACCGTCACACCAAAGTGCCCACAAATATCAGAAAAAAAAAACAAAATAAATCAGGATTTCCCCCCCAAAAAAAAAGCACTACGTAAGAGATTACATCCGTGGGAGCTTTCTGTGGTTTCAGGCATTGCACTTGAAGCAAACAGACCACCACAGGCTGCATTTCACATCCCTCACGTGCTGTGCTTTTCCTTACAAATCACACCAACACATGCTGCTATTTTTCCCTGGTAAGGACAGTTCTCGCTAACAGGCAACAGAGGTACCAGTGCTAAGCTCTCTCCTCACGAATGAGAGGGAAGCAAGGACTAAACTGGGGTTAGAATCAATATTCCTGGGTTTGCTGCTGTCAAGACAACGTTTCATTGGTATCAGAAAGAACATGGAAACACTAACTTTCTCCGTGAACCACGGGGAAGAACATCACTGCCGCACACCACCCCAAGGCCTCCCTTCCCCAAAATACATGAAGACATCTGAGCGGGCCTGTTGGGTTACTGAGCTCTACTTGCTCCATTTCTGTCCCTGCTCGCTGCCTGGGTGCATTCAGAGTCGGGGCTGGTACCTCAATCAGCTGTCGTGGAAACTATTTTAATGCCCCAAGGACAGCCCTGTGATATTCCTGCAGCGCACAGCCAGCCCGCGGAGGCGGCAGCTGCACTCCAGAGTCTTGTCTCGACAAGAAATGCCGCTTTCTTGCTTATTTTCTCAAAGAGATTTCAAGGGGCTAAGCATGCAACACGGCGTTCTCGGTCCAAACTCGGTATAGGAAAGCGATCGGTTCACCAGGGTGTAATTAGTAAAAAACTTGCCCTGTTTCAGGCAGAGTAAGGCTACGCAGGCAAGAGATGGACTCACAATTTGAAGCATCCATTGAGGTGAGCAAATTAAACCCTCCAGATACCTGTTGGCTGGACGGCTGCTGGATGGCAGCGGAAGAGTTAGCCCTCGTGTTAATGCAGGCTGCCTTCCCAATATAAGGTCATAGTCATCTAAGGGTCTTAACGGATTGGGGGGGGGGGGGGGCAGAACCAAAATTAAATATGGAATAAAAATTTACTTCTTGCAAATCAACTAAAATATGCCCAAAGTTATGCTGCTGAAACTGGGTGTTTCTGCCCGACACAAAAAGCAGGTGTTTTTGCCAGAAAGGCAGGGACTCGTACGGACACGGCTCTCCCAAGCACCCATCCTGCCTCCCAGGGGCAGGGGAGGCACTTGGAGCCCAGGTCTAATCGGCCCCGCGGCGTCACCGACCCGCCGTAGCCGCGGCAGGCACGCTGCCATTTCCCGGCCACCGTCACAGCCGCAGCTCTAACCTGCGCTCCGCCTTCCGCTTTGGACACGCACGCAGCGAAGCAAGGCAGTCAGCTTCCAGCAGAGCTAAGGCAGCAAAGCCAAACAGAGAGCCATTAAGGTAATTCAGACTGCAGGACACCGTCTTCCCCCTCCCATCTAATTTCCATCGACACATAAAAAAATTAAAAATTAAATTAAAGCTGCACGTTTCCAGAGCGTCGCGCTCAGCAGAGTGATGCAGCTGAAGCTCCCGTGAATTCCTGACATCACCTGCATCCTCGTACCGCACCCAAGCTCACTCGCAAGTCAGGATCTGATTTATCAGCTTACAGAACACACGTTCAATATTCGCCTTTGTGCATTTTTCGACAAAACTCCCAGCAAGCTCTGCCTTACAGAGTAACTCCGCAATCTCCCGGTTTGCCGGTTCTACCAGAAGTTACCCAGGCACAGACTGAGCAAATAGCTTGCAACCACCCCAATCGGCAAAGCCTGGGTTCTGCAGAACCGTATCTTCTGCTTGATTGATGCGCTGTTAAACAAAGTATGAGCTTAAAATGAAATTTTTCTCACATTTGGGGGTTTTGTAAAGGCTCTGGCGTGCGGGCTGGCCCCCCGCTGCTTAACACCGCCCCAGCTGAAACCCTCCCTTCCCAGCGACTGATACCAAAGACCTTTCGCCTTTACCCAATTCACACAGGACAGTTTTCCATCAATTGAAATGGATCCTTGATGTATCCAGATGAGTAGGAGCCGGAGCGCCGTTTTATTCAGGAACCTGGGGTGCCTAAAACCGTGGCTGATGTCCGCTGCAAACAAGATTTATGTGATTGCTTTGTATCCTGGGGTCACCAGTCATTCCTGAGCCTGGTGGCTGCTTTCACTCAAATCAATTAATCGAGTCAGAAGGGGGGATGAGAGGGAGTGCACAGGCTTCGTGTTGGGGGAAAACCAGAAGCGCTAGGAATCCAAGATCACTTTAGACAGCAGCAAACGAAGAAGCCCACTAGACTCTGGGGAAGTATTTATTTAGAGATCTGGCATCGCTGAGACTACCTTCCCTTCGAATTTCTAAAGTATCCCTTACAGAATATGCTAAAGCTGAAATGAGCCATCCAGTATAACCCAGACGTGGACCTACGTGGGGATGCACGCACTCGGATTTTGAATGGGGATAATGACATGACTGGTTTACAGATGGAACTGTTTTCTCCTCAGCACAGATCTTTTGACTAAAGATCTTTCAAATACTACAGCCAGTAACATTCAGTGGAACACGATTCTGTGCCCAAACTTTGCATATACATTTTCACAAGACTTAAAAATACCCTTCTGAGTAGCTCAGGTGTTCACTCTGTTCTGTGGCACTTCTAAGAAGAAACAGGTGGGCTTCCGATTCGGTTTCAAAACCTCTGCATTATTAGAAAAAGGCTCGTCTCGTTCCCTATCTCTCAGCGCTTCTCACCAGCCCTTTGTTAGCCTGCAAAGGGGTTTTGTTTTGCTTTCAGAAAGAAAGAGAAACTGAAGAGACATTCCTTACCTGGCCAAGGTACACTGCTTTACAGAGGACTGGAAAATATTTGTTGACTACATTAACATTCTAGAGCAGCAGAAAAGTAGTAATTGAAAATTCAATCACAGCCCAAACAGGACAGGGCACAGCTAGAAGAGTCTGCGGCTTTAACTCTCACCTTCCCTTATGTCCACATTGCCACTGCAACGCGGTCGGGAGATGAGCCTGCTTAACAAAGCAGGGCGTATTTTATATCCCTGGTGGCGGAG